TTATTTACTTCTCTCTCTCTCTCTCTCTCTCTCTCTATTTTCTTCTCTTTTTTTCTTTTTTTTTCTTTTCTCTTTCTGTTCTTGGTGGGATACCGGTAGAGGGAGCGGGATGGCATTATTAGTCATTTCTCCCATAATCTCGCTGGCGGGATATTATATCGGTGCGATATCGTGAGCACGGGTATTTTCCCCGTTGTCTAGGTGTGGGTGCACGGATTGGGTGGGTACATGGGGTACCGTACCGTGCCGGTACTGTGCCAGAGTGGTGTGCGCAAAAGGATACAACCTGTCGAAATGTTCTCCTGATAGAGGGGGGGGATCCAAGAAGAGAAGATAAAAAAATAATAATAAATGATATAAAAAAAGTCATCCCCATTCGACCCTATCGGCTCTCCCCCTTTTTTGAAGAGGGAGTAAAAGGAAAGGAAGGAATCCTACGGGGATAGGGATCCACTTGCGGCAGGTGGTCACTTGATTTGGCGTTTTTCGGAGCGCGGTGCTGTGCTGCACAGCACCACGGGTTAACCACCGTACCTTGTGTTGATTGCTCTTGAGTACATACAGCACGGAATGAAAAAGTAGTAGCACGAAGGATGAGGTTAGTGTGCTAAACGAGTGAGAATACATGATTATACCGTCAGGCAGGACCGTCAAAGTACTAGTATAATGGTAATATCATTCCCGACCTGACATGTTACATGGGTTGAGAAGGGAAATGCCTAAACAGAAGCACAAGGGAGAACGGGAACAAAAGGGAAGAGTGAAACAGAAAAGGAAAAGAAAGAAGAAGGAAAAAAAAAAAAAAGCACGGAGCCGACTCCAAATAATAATAGCAAGTATTATTGTTTCATTTCATCCCAGCTTTCATCACCTTCATACTCATTACGCCTGTACAGGTTAACGTAACCCCAGTCCATAAAGTGGACTTGTTATCCCCTCAAAGCTCTCAAGCGCTCTCCAAGCCTAATAATTGCGGACGGTTGATCAGTACTCTCATCTCCGCGAAAAGCACAGGAGGGGACGGGGAAGGAAAGCAAAGAGGGGGAGGGAGAGGAAAGCTCCAGAACCAATGAATGAAATGACAACGTACACGTCCTCCTCCTGCTCCGTCGGTCCAATCTTCGCTTTAGAAGGTGTCGCCGCAGTCAACTCCTGTGTAAGCTCCAACCCGTTCTCATCGGCAATCTGGCCCATCAATCGATCGACATCTTCTTGCGGAGTGGCAACGGCCGTCGCAGAAGAGGTTGCGTTCTCGTAATACCCGGTCGCGACGTCCAGGTCTTCGAACTGGGTTTCAAACTTATCCATAACCAAGGAAATCTACCCAGAAAGAGCAGGCACTTTCGTCAGTAAAGAAAGGGAGAAAAAAAAAAAGACGAAAAAATCAGTAGACCCTTCTCTTCCCCTTCCGTCCCCGTGAGAACCGGGCCGAGATGCCGAAATCAGGTGCGGCAATGAAGGGAACCACAGTAGCAATAGTAGCAATGACAAGCGGTGATAGCACACCTTCTCCAGGTTCATGGTTTTCATAGCACTATCCATCCCCTTGACCACATTCGCCATGCTGCCGGTGACCTGCCTCATGGTCACGGCAGTCTGCACCCTGCTTGCCACCGCATCGATTCTTGAGGCAAGGCGCAGAAGGTTCAGGCGCTCGTTCTGCTTTCTAATGGCATTCTGTGCGTATATCTTTGCGATATCTTGGTTTCCTTGTGAGAGGGCCTAATTCAACCGTGTCAGCGGGCCGGCCGTCTTACCGGCCACAAGGAAACAAAAAAGAAAAGAGCATGATCGAAAAAATGGAAAAGGCAAAAAGCAAAAATAAAAAAGGGAATGGCTTAAAAAAGGGAAGGAAAAAAAAAAGTCTTCAAGGATGCACGTATGCATGTATGGGTGGAGTAAGGGTACAACAGCGGAGTGGAATGCAGTGCAGTAGGGCGGGTAAGGGTTGAGGGGTTTTTCCGAGCAAACCTTCTTTATCTTTGCCTTTTCCGATGTCTCATCCTTACCAGCCTTGACCGCCTGCCGATTTAACTGCTTCGCAGTAAACTGTCCCGCACAATAGTTATGTCAGCAAGCAACCCACTGCCATAGCTCAGCCCCCGCTGCGGGAAAAAGCGGGCATAGCGGACAACAAACGCGAGATTCGGTGAATGGGTTGAAAAACGGAGATGGCGATGACGTACCTTCAGGTTGAACAGAGCTTTCTCGAGCCCGGACATGGCGTGAGTCTATTATGGCGAGTTCTTCTCTACCGCACTTTATCTCCCCTTCCCCTGGGAAAAAAAGAAGAAAGAAAGAGGAGAGAGAGGTGTAGGGGCAAAAAAGGAGGGGGTGTTGCTCGATGGAGGCGGGGGGGGGGGGGTTGTTGCTGGTGGTGGTGGTGGTGGTGGTGGTGATGGTGGTGGTGTGAAGTCTGAGAGCGTGTCAAGTCGGCAGTGGGAGAGGGAGAGAGGGAGAGTAAACACTTCGTGGCAGGACCTCGACTTGGTTGGCAGCGATGGTTTTGTTGGAGGGGTGTGCGCATGTTCCGACACTCCTTGTCCCTCCCGCCAAGGATCCTATCACTTCAAAGTGCCAAGACAGATCAGATAAGCGATAGCCGCTTTGCTGAGTGAAACCCCGATAACACGAATGTTGTCGAAGGTTTCAGATGGGACCCTTTTTGTAACCTAGTACCGTTTAGCTCTGACCTCACTCACTCTCGCTTTTCGCACTTAACTCCTCTAGGTCATGATAGTAAGTACAGTGCGACGTCAATTGTTGGTAATCGTAGCCCACACTCAATCCGACCGAGAATACTATGCCCTGCGTTGGCCTAAGGCCTCCCCCATGATATCTACAATCTCCCTTTGCCATTCCTACCATTGAGTAAATAAAGTCGTAAAACAATACAAGTAGTAATAATAATAATACTGATAACAATAATAATAAAGAGATAGAGAAGAGAAAAGTGATCATAATATTATAGTAGTAATAATAAAGCGATTAAGAGGTTCAAGAGCACACAATATATCCTTGGCCATACTTATTCCCATTTCCTATTCTCATACCCTGTCCGACCGTTGCATGTCATGTACCTGTGTATAGCTAAGAATACAAATTGTGACCCACCCGTCTCAGAGCCTCTGTAAAAGAAGCTGTGAAATATAGATGGAGCAGGCTAGAAGACACCCCCCTTCCCCGCCAAAATAAAAAAAATAAGAAAAAATGGTATGATATGAGCAAGGAGCTGTGAAGCTGAAACGAGAAACCTGGAGAGATAGTAACTATCAAAAAGCAGGTGGGGTAAATATATATAATATATATATAATATATATATCAAAACAGTGGGAAACAATACCCCCGACCAGCTAGCCAACCAGCGTAGAAGACACCCACAAAAAAAAATATACATCAAACGCCCTATCTCCCTCCTTCAAAAGAAAAACGTTCAAGAAGTCCAATGCTCCTAACCAGCGATTATGAACAGAAATTGATAAATCGAAAAGGTAATGAACATCAAAAGTGAGGATATGAAAACGCTCGGGGGAAGAGATATGCCGTCACAGGTAGGTCTCAAAATAGGGAAATAAACATTGAAAAAAAAAAAGAAGAAAAAAAAACGTAATCATGCCAAAAGTGAAGGTTAGCCAAGGCATCCCAACCCCAGGTCTTTCCATCCCTCCGGCCCCGGGGGAAATGCGTCGCATATCTCTACATAAAATAAAAATTAAGTCAGGCCCAGCGGTATACTATCTGTCTAAGGTTCGCGATTCTGAGGAAAATTCGGAGGATGTGAGGAGGACCGCTTGCGCTGATGCCCAATCTCCCTGCCTAACAGAGGTATCCGGCCTGTTCGTTCTTCGGGCTCCTGCGGGGGCGCTCCCAGCGCTGTTGCCGGGCCTATGGGATCGGAACCGCGGGTAAGGTACGACGAGTTGGGGGTGTTGGCATCAGCTGAAGTGCTCATTTGTGGAATTTGAAACTCTTGCGGAGGCACAAGAGGCGCTGTCGCAAATCCTGACATTGTCCCGGAGTGGGGAGTCAACGGAGGCTGTGAGTATTTGTAATCGGAGAGCGTCAATGGGGGTGGAAAGCTCGGCGGTGGTCGTGCTTGATGCGCCGACGCTGGAGTTGGTGAGGGGTAAGGGTGCGTATATGGTCCTAGTTCGGCATAAGCTATATAACCTTGAGTTTTATAGGGAAGGCCTGGGGGGTTACACACCTTGCGGGGTGTGCACAAAAGGGCTTTGGGGTGTTTCTGGAGGGACACTTCTCGGCGGCTCATTGAATGGCATCCCTTGCATGGAATACGTGCTAGGGCTTAGCTGATACTCGCTATGGTCAATCGTGTTTGCCGAATAGGGGGTGCTAGATCTCAGAGGTGAACTGGCAGATTCAGCCATCGATCTAGGTGTATCCTGCAGCTGGAGCCGCGGTACGCTGGGGTGCGTCCTGAACGGATTCGTGGCTCTTGAAAAAGGGTTTCCTCGCTGCTGCTGAGCGGTGAGAGGAGAAGTCATGTATCCGAGGTAAGAAGGCCGCTCCCCAGTTGAGGATGCAGGGGATAAGAGCTCGCCAGAGGTAGTTGTAGGCGTGAACGACAACCCTGCAAAGCCCGGTGTTGTGGGCGATACGACAACCTCATCCTCTCCGAGGTGCCTCCGTCGCGGATCCGCACGATAGGCCATGCTAGTCGTCGGTGAGTATTCAGTTGGAGAAGCAATTGGGGTCCCCATCATCCTCCCTCCTCCGTACTGCAACGTTTGAAGGATTGGGAATTCCTCTGGCAGCGCGCGCGACTTCATCATACGCTCTCGGTCATCACTGCTCATTCGTTTCAGCTTGGCTCTCCTGAAACGTTATTAGTCAACTATATTCTTCGGCAGCGCAACGGTAGCACACCACGAACCTATTTTGAAACCAAACCTGCACCTGTCGAGGACTCAAGCCAGGGATCTCCCTAGCCAACCGTTCCCGGTGGGCTGCATCAGGGTGTGCCTGTCTGGCGAACTCGCTCATCAGAAAGCGTGTTTGGTTGTGGGTAAGTCTAATTTCTCCGAAGGGGATCCGGTTAGCAACGGTAGGCCTCCTCCAATATCCCCCCACACATGCCGAAGAGGCAGTCAAGCTTACCTGAACCGCTTCATCTTCCTTTTTTCCTGCCTTCTCTCGCTCAGGGACATGTGATGCTCCCCATGTGAAGATTGGCCAGTGATGTCCACAGAATGTCTATGCTCCGAGTGATGGGAAGAAGAGTGTGGACTCTCAATCATGGATCCATTTGAAGTCTGCGAATGGGGAGAGCCATGCCCTTCGTGAGAAGTAGGCCATTCCCGATCTCTATAGTCATCCTCGGCCTCGGAGGCCCCATGAGGGCTGTATTGCTCATAAACCGGAGGAAGCTGAGTATGGACCTGATGGCCCTCTTGCTCCTGGGGCAGGACAGATGGAGTACCCCCCTCCAGCCGCTGCCCTCTCCAGGGCAAATGGGACGAATGATCTCCTCCAAAGTCCGACATTTGATGAAGTGTGAAATATTTCGAGGCCGACGTTTCCTCCCACTCTCCCACGCCTCGGCCTTCCCGATGATAAGAGGCGTGTTCTAGTGAAGGCACTATGAAGAGTTAAAAAATAATATCCTCGAACAGCTCACCACCAGAAGTGTGGCTGTCTTTCTTTGTGGGGGGGGGGTAGATGTCTCTCTTTTTTTTTTTTTTTTTCTTTTCCGGGTATGTGTGTGTTGTCAGGTAGTTGCGGTGGAGTAGGTTTTCTAGCAATAGAGGAAATTCCAGTTGCAGTGCTAGTAGCGATGGTAATGTGCGGTGGCAGCAGGTAGCCAACGAGAAGGACCGGAGCAACGAGCAGTAATAGAAATAGAGATCGAAAAATAAGGACTCTCAAAATCTCGAAGGAAAAAAAAAAAAAAAAAAACAGCAAATCCTACAAATCCCAGTTCCTGACGCGCCAAGTATCTAAGTTCAGATCGTTCGTAGCTCGTTCTTCGTTTCGTTAAATCCGGGATTCCGGAGTTGTTTACTGTAAGCCAGGGCGGATTCCAGCTAGATGCGGAGAATTGGTTGATTGACGTAATGAGCGAATGAATGGACCGGATAAATATGTGATTGTTTAAAAAGCGAAAGGCGATGGTTCTGGAGAATGAAGGTAAGGAGAGATCTGCGGCTTGTTCCCTTTGGCGGGGTGTAGGGTGGGGGGGAAAGGGAAAGTAGTTAAGAGTGAGTGTGTAATGGTGGCGGGCGGTACCCTTGAGTAAACAAGACGGGAGAACTGGCTCAGCAGAAAAGGGCGTAAATAATAGCGACCCGGTTGTGGTATACGAATGTGGTTTGCGCTTGGTGGGAGAAGAGAAGGAGAGTGTGGCGCGGAAGCTCAAGTCAAGTTATAACAATAAATGGCGATTCCTAAAGCTGGATTGGGGGCTAATGTAGATATTATAGACTACTACTTCTTCTTTTCCTGTCCGCTGGGGGGACTTGTTTGAAGGTTCATGCAGCCGAGTAAGCAGGTCGAAGGAGTGACCAGGCGGTTAGTTGATCGGTGAGCCAATAGGGTGGAGCAGGTTGGTGAGCTTTTTGAGCCAAAACTGCTGGCGGGGAGAGTATTCTTCGGGACGAGTCGACCGGCAAAAATGAATGACAACGATAACGTCTATATGGAGAAATATTTCAATGAGGGAACGACCAGCGGCGAAACCAGCAGTTGTGACTTCACAGATTCTGACCCAACAGCGTGACCCAGCACAAGAGAAAGAAAGAAAGAAAAAGAGAGAGAGAGAGAGAGAAAGAGCGAAAAAAGAAAATCTCGAGAAGGATCGACGAAGGCAGGGCGAACGGATTATCAATAAATAAGATGGGTCAAAAGCAAAGGTTTTTTGTTTTTTTTCCCTTAAAAAAAATAAAAAATGTGAGGTAGAAGGAGAGAAAAGACAGGATGGGAATCCTCAATCGAGCGGGGATCTTAAGGTATATGTGGGATAAAATGGGAAGACCCTTTTTGTAATCCCTTACCACTTCGCAACGGAGGCGATTGACGGGGAATGCCCGCCGAACGGAGGAATGGAAAATCGATACAGCGAGAAGTGAATGGAGGGATCGCAGAACGAAAGCACTAGCACGACCACTGGTGCGGTAGACGCGCACGGGCTGTCAAAGGACTCCTGCGGTGCGAGAAAGAGGAGGGTGAGGACGAAAGGGAGGAGGTGGAAAGCGGGCACGGGGCCGGATCGTGTAGCCTTTGCATGAAGGTCGATGGTCTGGGTCTGAGCAAGGCGGGGCCAGTAGACGATGAGTAGCACCAGTGCGAGCACAGAAAGCAGCAGACCGATTGCCTCACCAAGGGTCAAGGTGAGGTGGATGTGGGTAGGTAGGAGTGTACCAGGAGTAAGTATGGGAAGGAAGTAGGACGAAAAGGGAAAACTAGGAGTAAGTAAGAGGAAAGAGGAATAGAAGGAGTTATGCCGGAGTGGGAGCAAGAGTAGAAAGGGAGTGAGTGGGTAGGAGAGCGAGTAGTAGGACCAGAGCTTGGACGTAGGAGTTGATACCAGATAGCCAGTACAGCCAAGAAGAGATCTCGGCCTATTAATTCCCAGGTGGAGGGGGCGTCCAGTTTCAAGACGAGCGTTTTGGAATTCCCGAAAGAGCTACCACAACACCCGCGGTAGAAGCAGCATATAACGCATACTAGGGAGATATACTTGTAATGAATGAATGAGAAAAATGGAAGAAGGGCTGCCGAATTCTCTCGCGCCGGTAGTAGTGATTGAGATGTGTGATAGCTTCTGAGATTGATGCTTGATATGATATGGTGTATGGCATGGATACGGGTGAATTCGCGTTGAGGCGAAATTCACGATCGTAGCACTGTGCTAGCTCTTTTTTTTTTTCTTTTCTTCTTCTTCCTCTCTCTCTTATCCCTTATTTCTGCCTTCCTCCTCCTCCTCCTCTTCTTCCTAGTTCTATCGAATGTCCGTATTCCCCCTTCCGTCTTCCTTGCCTTGCCTTGCCTTGCCTTGCCTTGCACCTCTGAATCTGGATACCGCAAGTTCCTCTATCAAAAACCTCCAGGGGTACCGAAAGCAGTAGTACGCAGTTGACAGCAGAGGCGACTGCAGCAACAACCTTCTACCATAGCATCTCACTCACTCGCTCGCTCCCGCTATGGCGCGGTCCCCGTTTGCCCCCTCGCTCTCCAAAGCACAAGGAGGATAGGATCATACTCCACCTACCTATCTCTCAATCAAACGCTGCAAATGAGATAAGAATGCCTCTAGCAGCGGAGGATTATAGAGCCTGTGCCGAGGAATTTCGGCGGGCACAAGAGGAATGTATGAATTGCGCCAAAACACCAGCTGACCTTCAATGACGGGTTGGTTAGATGGGGAACGGGCACCCGGTACTCTCGCGCTGAGGAACAATAGGTAGAAAGCGGTAGCGGTGGGAGTGGAAGCAACAGGAGCACGCGCAGCTAAAGACGACCAAACGCCAAAAGCAAAACGGCTACCCATTCCCGAGGCAGCCAGATGTGCTCGGCGTTCCTCAAAGTCTCCGTAATGTAAGTTACAGGTCCATTGCCCAAGTTACCGTAAGTTCCCGCAATATTTGGTGAGGTGAAGCCATCAATTATATGTCAAGGGAATCACCCGGTCATTTCCCATTCCGGAGACTTTAAAAAACTTGGAGTACTGTACTTGTACGGGTAAAGTGTGGCCGAGCAACACCGCAACCCACCAAAGCCAGCCCAACCAACCACCAACAATCCATCCATCACCCGAGAGCGAACCACTGCGCGCCCAAAGGGTAACTCAGTAAACAATACCGTATTATAACAACAACAGGCAACAGGCAACGAAACAACGGAATAGCAAATACCGGCAATAGGGAACAGTGAAGAATAAAATAAAAAAAATAAAAAATAGGAATAAAAATGGAAGCAGAGGAAGGGCGGGGTATGAGTTTGGGATTGGATGTGGAAAAGTGTTACCGGGAGTTGTTTCATGTTGAGTGCCGCGAGTGCTCGAGCGCACACGCAGTACCGGAGCTTTTGCAACAAAGTTCCCGAGGGAGGCTGGCCAGGGTATCATACCGTAGCGTACAGTACTCGAGTACTACAGTATGCCCGCAGAAATGTAGGGCTTTTTCTTTTTCTTCCTTTCTTTCCTTTTCTCCCATTCTGGCCCTTTCCCAATTCTTATATTTCGTTTTTTGTTTTTTTCTTTCCCTCCCGGTTTTGCTTTTATTCTGGTTCTCGCACCTCGTTCTCGTTCTCGTTCTCAATCCCCAATTTCCTTATGAGTGTCTGGATTTCCTCCCTTCTTGCGAAGGGAAGGAAGCAGAAAGAAATGAAACAAGAGAGGGGGGGGGGGGAATCGAACGAGAAGGCTTGAGGGAGAGCGATCTGGCTAGCGACATCATCGAGCAGCGGCTGCGATGGGAGCAGCAGTAGCCACCGCTGGATCACGGAACGGTATGCAGGCACCCAGCATTGAAGCGTGAGAGGGAGAATATCATACCGCCCGCGGTAAGGGAGGATAGGGAAGTGAAGGGGCGTGGGGAGCAGTGGAATCGGAGCTGGCATTTGCGCGTGGCGTCGTTCATGCGCTCCATACAGTACTGTAGAGTACAAGTACTCTTGCTTGCTTGCTTAGCTCTCTTTCCTTATCCTTCTTCGCCCTTTCGCTTCACACACCTTATCCGCCTACCGTACATAGTTTAGCTGCCCTGGCGCGCCGTTGTACCGTACCGTACTGTACTGTACAAGTACTGTACTGTACTCGTACATGGCCGTTGGGGCACAGATAGGGAATAGTCTGGATCCCACATCGGACTAAGCCCAATTAAATTACCGTGCTCCCTTGTCCCCTGTCCCTTCCCCGGGGACGAGTTCCATCTCTGATCCGCTCAATCGACGAATCCAGTTGCTCAGTGATACAACCGTTAAACGTCTCTCTGGCCTTGCACTCCAACCCCAACACGGTGACCGCACCGGTATTGCACCCTCCGGCTGCCAGCGAACCACCACCACCACCGTAACCCTCCATTCAATGAACTGCACCCAAGCGAACACCGACAGGCGTGGAAACCCCCGTTCCCGACGGATCCATTGCAGTTGTTTCCCGTTCCTCGCCGCGCCCAACTCGCTTCTCATAACCCCCATCCCTCATTCCCCCCCTCCTTCCTCCACCATGATATGATCGTTGCAGTAAAGTGTTGAAACCTGGAGAGAGCGAGTCATTGCTGAGTTAGTAATTTGAGTCAATCTTAGCGCGGCTCGGACCGAACCATAATCCTGACCCTGCCCTAATCACAGGCACGGGGGCGCTGGTACTCGAGTATCATCCCATGGAAACAGCCGTCTCTGCTCTGTACGAGCACTGTAATGTACGAGTACGGTATCATACGGTACTCGTGCGGGAGGTTATGTCTACAAGTACCGGTGCGACAGCAACACACGAGGGAGTAGACCTACTCGAGTACAGGAAAGGGCATGCACTGGTACGGTACTC